CTCATCACAGATGAGCTCAAACGGGGAGATGCCAGCTCAGATCGATCAGGGGGTGAGGGGGCCGGAGGGAGGGAGGGGGAGCTGAGGATCGGGGCAGGGGCCCACAAAACAGCGGGGGGGCAGGTCCCGTGGGCCCCACGTTAGCTACGGGCCTGGCCTATTCAATGACAGACATCTACATTCGGCAGGGCAGGAGCTCCATTCCCACTGCCAGGGACGAGGGTGATCGAGATAATGAAACCTGCATTCGGCAGGCAAGGCTCCGGCATGGGAATCTATGTAATCAGCCAGGAGCAGCCCAGCAACAGCAACAGGTCGGGGAGGCCAATCAATGGCATCTACATTCGGCAGGGCGGGGACTCTGCATTCCCACTGCCAGCCACAAGGCTGGTTAGATTTAAATTGGGGGGGGGAGGGTTATTGGGAAGGATGAGGTCCGGGGCATGGAGAGTAAGTCGGGGGCGTGGTCACGCCCTGCGCCCCTGTCGCTACGGGCCCTATAGGAACCCCAAATAGCTTACATCATTCTCCTCTCCTCCGTTTTATTCCCACAATGACCCTGTGAGGCAGGTTAGGCCTAGAGTGTGTGCCAGCCCAAGGTCACCCAGCACGTGTCCACGGCACAAGTGGGGATTCAGTCCTGGGTCTCTTGGAGAGTAGTCTGATGCTTTCAACCACTGCGCCGCTCTAAAGAAGAACAGGAGGTTAATGTGCTCTAAAGAAGAACAGGAGGCATTCCACACCGCAGGAGAGGAGCCTGGGGGGTTGGGGAGGAGAAAGCAGCCCAATCCTGCGGCACCACACCCAGTTGCCTCTCCATGGATAAGCAGTGAGGCACTTTGCATGCATGCCGGTGCTATGCGGTGACATACAAGCATCGTTCTTACTCCACAGACTAGGGTTCCCAACCCCCCCCCACACACACACACTCTCTGGCCCGGGGCTTCGACGATTTTCGGGGCTTCAGTCCACCACCGACCAGCTGGCCGGCAGGGGAAGCTCCACCCCCAAACAGGGACATCGCTGTGCAATGTCCCTGTCATGACAACGTTGCCCAGAAACGACATCGTAACACTGCTGATGTTGAGGGTGTGCCGCTGTAGTTTTTGTCCAGACTCTATGGTTTTGACGGCAAAAAAACCCCCTAGAGTTTTGCCCAAAAACTAGAGTGGCACTCTCTTGATGTCACCTCCAGGTGATGTCACCATAGCGTGCGGCGCACCTCACACATGTGCCCGAAGTTCCTGCAAAAAGACCAGAGCCTCCCCGCCAGCAGTCGGTAAGGTCCCGGCAACCCTACCACTGACGTTCATTTTGTCAAGAGTATATAATGACAACACTTAGCAGTGAACGCTGGGAGTGCAGATGCCAAGTATGCAAAAGGCATCTTGCAGTTGTGTAACACAGCCAGGGGTCATTTCCTGCAGGAGCGCACAGGAGTGGAGCTCCAGCAGTAAAGAGCCCAGGGGGCGGGCACATGCAACAAGCCCCACCCCCTGCTCCCAGCAGCCCTCAGTCAGAGCAAGAGGCAGCCAGATAAGTTGCAGAGCCCCCTCCCCGGTCCAAAACAGTCCAGTGGCACCTTTAAGACCAAGTTTTATTCAGGTACAAGCTCTCCCTCCTCTGCGAGGGCAGATCTGCACGCTTCCCCCACCCCCCAATAGCTAGCAATCCAAAACAGTCCAGTGGAGCCTGAGCGGTGGGTGTTGCCTTCTGACACACTTCCGGTGATGTCATGGGGTATGGCATATGCAAATGAGTTATGCTAAAGAGTTATGCGAATGAGCTCCTGCACCTCTTTTTCTACGAAATGAGCCCTGAACACAGCAATACAAGCTAATGAGTTGAGTATAGTATGCCAAAACATTTTTTTAAGGGAAGCTTACCATTCGCATCCATGTTGGTACAAAACCTTTGTATAGAGACAGAAACCCTTCACCTTGAATTGCCTGAAACAGGCAGTCAGTGGATGATTTATACAGCAAACCCCTAGAAGGGATTACAAAAAGCAAAGTTTGATGTCATATTTCTTGAAATAATTCTTCAAAATTTGATTCTTTTTCCTAACCACAGACCTAAATAATACATCATTTAGGATTAATTCTGTCCAATAAAGTATCATAAATTTCTCTTAAATTTTGCATAGTAGCTGTTCTGGAGAGGGTGTTCCGTTCTAACAAATGGACACTTGCCAGTAGCACAGAAGATTAAGGATGCAGCCTGTAGACTGGGTTTTGATCTACGGACTGTATCCTTAATCTTCTGTGCTGTTGGCAAGTGTTCATTTGTTAGAATATCTGCTATGCAAAATTTAAGAACCTCTGGTTCTCAACTGTAATTAAAAGCAGGAAATATTTGACATACCTTCCATGTTCATCTCTTGGTTGATTCATTATTCGGGTTTTGATCACATCTGCAGGAGTACCCAAAACAGCCGCTACCACCCCGGAACATCCACTGTTAAACCAACATTTGAACAAAATACACATGTCATAGCCTGCGTGTCCAAAGGAAAGCAAATTCACCTGCCCCCAGGCCTCTGTTTGCCAATGGAAAAAGTCCTAAGGTTTGTTCACTAAAGGGAAATGGGCAGGGCTTTTTTTGTAGAAAAAGACCAGCAGAAACTCATTAGCAAAATAGGCCACACCCAGCAGCAGACATTCATTAGACCCCTGACAGCACAGCTCATTGGCATATTAGGCCACACACCCCATGTCTGCAGAAGTGTGGTCATCCAGACACACCCACCTTTTGCTGCTTATTCTGTTTACCTTGTTTGTTGTCTAAACCCAGGGCCTTTTTTTGTAGCAGGAACTCCTTTGCATGTTAGGCCACACACACCCTAATGTAGCCAATCCTAATGAGTTTTTGCTGTTGGGTGTGGCCTATTATACTAATGAGTTCCTGCTGGGCGTGGCCAACTTGGGAGCCAGCCGGAACTCTGTTCCTGTGCGTTCCTGCCCAAAAATAGCAGGAAATAGCCTGGAAATGGGCACAAATTTTCATATACAGTTGTGCATTACCCATGTGCATTTTTCTAAAAAAATAAGGCTACCGTAATTTGCTTTCAATTAGATAAATACAAATCTAGACTGCAGCCTTGCAAATACCGTCTCAAAGGGTGACTGCTGACTCCCCATTCTGCCCACTTCACTGCTTTTCCTCTCCCCTGTTTTTCCCCTCGTCTCCCAAGTGTCCATGTGTGCTACTGTAGCACAGCAGTCTTTTCTCCCTGGCCACCGAAATGCATCACTACAGAATGGCACAATGTTACCAACCTCCAGGTGGGGCCTGGAGACCTCCTGGAATGACAGATCAGCCCTAGTTTACAGAGATCAGCCCTCCCTGGAGAAAATGGCTGCTCTGTGGCATGATTCCCTGCTGAGGTCCTGCCCCAGGCTCCACCCCGAAATCTCCTGGAATTTCCCAACTTGGAGTTGGCAGTCTTACAATGGCGGCAGCTGCCACTTGCCCCCCTCCTTCCCACTTAAGCCAGGACAGAGTGAAGAGGAGAGCCTGGCAGCGATCATAAAACCTCTGCACCTCGGGAAGAGGAGGTGCAACCAGGACTCCCTCCTTACAAGGCTGCTCAGCAGGTGACATTTTCAGAACATTTAGCCTGCCAAGATAAATATCTGTCTTCTTGACCAAATGAGGGCTTGTGCCGCTCTGTTTAGGGAACTCTGGAGCATTCCGCTTGCCCAAGAAACTTTCATCTGATCAGCTGTTCCCGTGGCAGGAGCCTGCTTGGGCCAGAGGAAGGCTTGGCTGAATAGAACGGTACTTTTTTTAGATTCAGGCGGGTAGCCACGTTGGTCTGAAGCAGCAGGACAAAGAGTGGCGCCTTCAAGACCAACAAAGTTTTATTCAGGGTGTGAGCTTTCGTGTGCAAGCACACTTCTTCAGATACAGGGAAACGGAATTTCCTCAATTAGCCCTTCCTGGCAACTAACCCCTATATGTAATGGTTGAGGAAATTCTGTATCACTGTATCTGAAGAAGTGTGTTTGCACATAAAAATTAACACCTTCAATAAAACTCTGTTGGTCTTCAAGGTGCCACTGAACTCCAACTTTGTCCTGGTATTTTTTTTTTAGCATCTTTACATGCATTGCCTGGTTCATAAGGTGCACATGGATTGTTTATAACAGTGTGGTTAGAGGCGCCATTGATCAATCCTCTTTTTTTTGGACTGGTTATTCCTACTAATGAATGAATAAGTTCCAACTTAAAATAAGGGCTTGGTAACAGAACGCCGCAGCTACCAGAGATGCAATCCACTAACTTCAAGACAGCATAACGAATCAGTGGGATATCTAAGAGTAAGTAGGGTAATGTAGCTTCAGAGGGAGGCTGTGTTGGTCTGCAATAGTAGAAGAGCTAAATTCAAGCCCACTACCACCTTAAGAGACCAACATGAGTTTCAGGGTAGAAGCTATTGAGAGTAAAATGTACTCCCAGGGCTAGTCAGGGCTCTTTTTGTAGAAAAAGCCCAGCAGGAACTCATTAATTAGCATAATAGGCCACACCCAACAGCAGGAACTCTTTAGCATACTGGGCCACACCCCTGACAGCACAGCTCATTAGCACATTAGGCCGCACCCCCACGTTACCAGAAGTGTGCTCATCCAGCCACACCCACCTTTTGCTTCTTATTCTGTTTACCTTGTTTGTTGTCAAAACCCAGGGCCTTTTTTTGTAGCAGGAGCTCCTTTGCATGTTAGGCCACACACCCCTGATGTAGCCAATCCAAATGAGTGTCTGCTGTTGGGTGTGGCCTATTATGGTAATGAGTTCCTGCTGGGTGTGGCCAACTTGGGAGCCAGCCGGAACTCCGTTCCTGTGCGTTCCTGGGCAAAAATAGCCCTGGATGAGATGTTACCATAAAAAACAGTGACAGCTAGAACTAGCAAGCTTGTGTTTAGCTCCTTCCTGTCGCTTCCACAATGTCTATTCAAATTTTCACAGTGTTGTGATATCATGATCAACCAGTTTCCTTTATCTCTGCCAGCAGCAGCCAACTCAGTGAAGTGGGGAGGAGGAGGAGGAGATTGGATTTATAGCCTGCCCATCACTACCAGAAGGAGTCTCAGAGCAGCTGACAATCTCCTTTCCCTTCCCCTCCCCACAACAGACGCCCTGTGAGGTAGGTGGGGCTGAGAGAGCTCTTTCCAGGACTGCCCTTGAGAGAACTTGTGACTGACCCAATGTCACACCAGCAGCTGCATGTGGAGGAGTGGGGAATCAAACCCGGTTCTCTCAGATTAGAGTCCACACTCCTAACCACTACACCAAACTGGCTCTAACCACTGTAACCACGACACCAAACTGACAGAACACTGTGACATCACACTATGGGCTACTTCTACCATGTTATGTAGGAGAATCATCCTTAACGTTATTTTTGACAGCAACTGCAGATTTACACATCTACTTTGGCCCCAACCCCGTTTTAATTGAGACACCTGCATTCAACAGTACAATACTGTATGTTAAATCGCAGTATTGAAAGCCGAAACAACCGTTCCTTGGGTTAAAGAGACGTTTACACCAAAAGCTGAGGATGAGACCAAAAGGGGAAGGAAGGAATACGAGACCTTGCAATGCTGTGGGTGATGCTGTTGTCCTGAAGTGATGTGTTCAGAAGTAAAAAGTGCTTAACGGAGTCGTAAGTTGTCAGATCTGTGGCAAAAAAAGAGGATTTTTCTTGGATTTTTTTTTAAAAAATAGGTGCTATGCATTTGTGGTTTGTGCTAAAAGCACACTGCAGAGCAGACCGTGGGGACCGTCCCCTTCCCTCCATTACCAGCTTCTGCACTCAGAACCCATATTGTTTCCCCCATTCTGTTACATTTTTATTCTACCCTTCATGCGTGGAACGATTACATGGTTCTCTCTTCCCCCATTTTAATCCTGCCATCAACCTTGTGAGGAACGTTAGGCTGAGAGAGACAGAGAGATGAGCTCAAGGTCACTCAGCTTTATGGCTGAGCAGAGAATTTGAACCTGGGCCTTTATGTCCCCCACCTGTCCACCGTGATCCCTTCAGGCAGAGGTTCTCTGAGAGTACGTGCCACGAGAAGGAACTGCGAGGACAAAGTAGAAGGTTACTCATGCCGGGAGCAGCTTCCAAGACTGAAGGCCTATTTGCACCCAGCTAGGGACCTTGGGAGGAGCTGCGGTGGCTCAAGTGGTTAAGACGCTGAACTGCAGGCTGTGGAAGGTCGGGAGTTCAGCAGTTCGAGACCCGAGTGTGCCGCATGACGGAGTGAGCTCCCGTCTCTAGTTCCAGCTCCTGCCAACCTAGCAGTTCGAAAGCAAGAAATTGCAAGTAGATAGATAGGGACCACTTCGGTGGGAAGGTAACAGTGTTCCGTGCGCCTTGGTGTTTAGTCATGCCGGCCACATGACCACGGAAACGTCTTCGGACAGCGCTGGCTCTTCGGCTTTGAAACGGAGATGAGCACCGCAACCCGAGAGTCGGACTCGACTGGCTTTTGAGCAAGGGAACCTTTACCTTTAGGGACCTTGGGACAGCTCCAGCTAGCCGCAGGCTGGTCTGAGAGAAATTTGGGGATCTTTCTAGCTTACGGACAGCTAGAAAGAAAGACGTGTGTACCCTAAAGTTTATCACTTTAGTACAATCTAATTCTGCCCTTTCTCCCAAGGAGCTCAGGGTGGCATACATCAATTCCTCTTCCTCTGTTTTACCCTCACAACAACAACAACAACAAGCCGGGCTGAGAGAGAAAACGATTGGTCCAAGGTCACCTCATGGAAGAATGGGAATTTGAACCCGAGTCTCCCAGGTCTTAGTCTAACACTTTAACCATCATGCTGCTGCTGCTGTTTTCAGTAGGCCAGCTTTAACATTTAAAAGGGGTTGCTGTATCCATGGATTAGATGCAGGCGTCTCTTGCTGTTAACAGCACTGTGCCTGAATTAGCAGTATTCCTCTCCCACTGTGCGAATGTGCACTGAAACACGGCAAAGGAATGAGTGCCGCTTTGCTGTACGGCGGTGTGTGCCCCTTTGTCCTTCAGAACACATCAACAGTTCCCTTCCCACCAGGGGTCATTTCATAGAAAAAGAGGTGCAGGAGCTCATTAGCATAACTCATTAGCATAACTTATCTGCATACACCACACCCCCTGACATCGCCAGATGTGTGTCAGAAGGCAACACCCACTGCTCAGGCTCCACTGGACTCTTTTGGATTGCTAGCTATTTTTTTTTGGGGGGGGGACGTGCAGATCTGCTATCACAGAGGAGGGAGAGCTTGTACCTGAATAAACCTTGGCCTTAAAAGTGCCACTGGACTATTTTGGATTGATATGGGGGGGGGGGGCTCGCAACTTACCTGGCTGCTTCTTGCTCTACCTGGCTGCTTCTTGCTCTTTGTGGCCCGTGGCTGCTGGGAGCAGGGGGTGGGGCTTGTTGCATGTGCCCGTCCCCTGGGCTCTTTACTGCCGGAGCTCTGCTCCTGTGCGCTCCTGCAGGAAATGACCCCTGCTTCTCACACTATTTAATTTTATTTATTTGAAAAAAATTTATGCCGCCTTTCCAGCCAATTCAGGGTCCCCAGGGCAGCGAACCTTAAAACACTGCAAACATTAAGAAGCACTTAAAATACAAACAAATATAAAATATGCAGAATAAATAAAACACTAGCAGAATACTAAAAAGGGGAAGTGCTATGTGGAACTAGATCGAGATGGGTAGCAGCCGCGTTGGTCTGTCTGTCGCAGCAGAAAAGAGCAAGAGTCCGGCAGCACCTGAAAGACTAACAAAATATGTGCCACGGAATGAGCTTTCATGAGTCACATATCTGAAGAAGTGAGCAGTGACTCCGGAAAGACTCCACACATTTTGTTAGTCTTTCAGGTGCCGCCGGACTCTTGCTCTTTTCTACTATGTAGGAACTGTTAGGCTAGAGATGAGTAAGGTTACCTCCCATGTTTACTAGCGCAGCCCGCTGGACGTTGGGCACCCAACCTGCCCAAAGGCCTCGTACTCCTCCATCAGACACGATCTTCACAAACGCATGGTGGACTCCGCGATATCTAGGATTGGAATCAAAACAATTGCACCTTACTGATGCTTCTGTCCTAAAAACGCCGGCCATAGTCCAGCAGCACAAGCCACGCGTACAGCCAGAGCTTCCCTGTTGTCAGCATGGAAAAATCCATTTGGTTCTGCTGGTTTGTGTTCATACAGTCCTCTTATCCAGAGGGGTCCTGCCGTGAGGCGCCTACAGTATATCAAGTTGGACCTGACATCTTGCATAAAATGAATTTCAAACCTTTTCTCGGTGTAGCTTTCTATGAACCTCTGTGACTTTTGCTGAGACGACAGTGACGGAGCACCAGGCTGTCTTTTTGCATTCCATGAAATAACCGCGAGTCATTGTAAACATTTGAAAGCACCCCTCAGTATTGAGAGAAGCTCTTTTTTTGTCTTGACTGAATGGATTTTTACAACAAAAAAGACACACACCCTCCAGATGATCCCAACTGTGTTTGCCCCTGCAGGATGTCACCTAGAGTATTCAGTTTTGGGCACCACAATTTAAGGAGGATATAGACAACCTGGAACGTGTCCAGAGGAGGGCAACGAAGATGGTGAGGGGTCTGGAGAGCAAGTCCTGTGAGGAAAGGCTGAAGGAGCTGGGAATGTCCAGAGGAGGGCAACGAAGATGGTGCGGGGTCTGGAGACCAAGTCCTGTGAGGAAAGGCTGAAGGAGCTGGGAATGTCCAGAGGAGGGCAACGAAGATGGTGAGGGGTCTGGAGACCAAGTCCTGTGAGGAAAGGCTGAAGGAGCTGGGAATGTCCAGAGGAGGGCAACGAAGATGGTGAGGGGTCTGGAGACCAAGTCCTGTGAGGAAAGGCTGAAGGAGCTGGGAATGTCCAGAGGAGGGCAACGGAGATGGTGAGGGGTCTGGAGACCAAGTCCTGTGAGGAAAGGCCAAAGGAGCTGGGAATGTTTAGCCTGGAGAGGAGATGACTGAGAGATATTATAACCATCTTCAAGTACTTGGAGGGCTGTTATATAGAGGATGGTGCGGAGTTGTTTTCTGTTGCCCCAGAAGGTTGGACCAGAACCAATGGGTTGAAATTAAATCAGAAGAGGTTTCAACTAAACATTAGGAAGAACTTCCTGACAGAGCAGTTCCTCAGTGGAATAGGCTTCCTCAGTAGGTGGTGGGCTCTCCTTCTTTGGAGCTTTCCAAGCAGAGGCTAGATGGCCATCTGACAGCAATATAGATCATGTGAACTTAGGCAGATCAGGAGAGGGAAGGCAGGGAGGTGTCAGACTTCCCCACAGCATCAACGAAGTACACACTTGTAGAAAGGTTTTACTTTATTTGAAGCTATAGGTGCATAGACAGGATCACTGTTCGGAATGAGGGGGGAGCAAAGAGCATGGCATGTTATAGTATATTCAAACCACTGAGGCCCAATTGCAGGAGTTCCCGCACGCCCCATCGGGCCTGGGAGCAAACGCTTCTAGGCAGCATATGTTATCTCCTTCCCACGGTGTTCCATGAGATCACCCAAGCAACTATCCAGCAGCAGCAACCACCTGTGGCCTTGAGAGATATAGACGTTTCGGCAGCTAAGCAATTAAGCGCATCAACAGGTCTACATATGAAAGCGAAAGCAATCAAGCGCACACATAGAAAAGAAAGAAAAACAATTGGCAGCTTGCTGACAGGAGGGTTGCCTCAGTGCTGAGTTCTTGTGGCCCTTTCTGTCACACCCAGGGAAATGCCGATTGCCATTTTGGGGTCAGGAAGCAATTTTTCTCCAGGCCAGTTTGGCCGGGGATCCTGGAAGGTTTTTGCCATCTTCTGGGCATGGAACAGGGATCACTGGGTGTGTGTGTGAGGGGTATTTGTGAACTTCCTGCACTGTTCAGGGGGTTGGACTAGATGACCCTGGAGGTCCCTTCCAAACCTATGGTTCTCTGACGTGATGGTGTGAGAAGGAGGCATGAGTTGCTGGACTTTTGCTCTCGTCTTGCTAGATTTTCCCACTGCTTTGGGGATCGTCTGTGGATGCAGCTACAGGAACCCAAAAGTTGGCAAGAGGGAATGAGAAAGAGATGCGTTGCATCGACAGTGTGCCAGAAGAGTAGGGTTGCCAAGTCCGATTGGCGCTGGAGTGGGGGACTCCAGTGCTGCTCTGGGAGTGCGCGTATGCGCGCAAAGTGCGCGCGCTCCACAACCCCATCGCCCAGAAGTGACGCGACTACGCTGGGGGCGGGGCCACGTCCATCCAAGAGAAAACCATAGTTTTCCCTTGGATGACCGTGGGCCCGCCCCCAATGCGCCCGACGCGATCGCGTCACCTCTGGGTGACGTGCACGTTGCGTGCTTTGGGGGTGGGGTTCCCCCCGGGGCCCGATCTGCCGGCGGCGGGTAACGGGCCTCTGGGGCGGGGGTTTCCCCGCCCCCTGGGGGGACTTGGCAAGCCTACAGCAGAGTTAAGATAAGGAACTACTCAGACGCCACGTCCACGCCTGTGGATTCCTGACGTATCAGAAACCAATGTTATCTGCAACCAAACAGGATAGAAGCATGTCCCAGGCATACAAGGGACCCATAGATCTGTGTACATGTATAATCACAATGCCAAGGGAGTGCCTTATGAACACACATGAAGCTGTCTTGTATTCCATCCGAATCAAGGTCAGTATTGTCCATGCAGACTGGCGATGGCTCTCAGAGGTCTCAAGACGAAGTCTCCCACATCACCTAACGCTTGGTCCTTTTTGCTAGAGAAGCCGGGGATTGAACCTGGGACCTCCTGCACACAAAGCAGAGGCTCTTCCACCGAGCCACCGTCCGACTCCATGAAAAGACCTCCGCCTGACAACAGGAACCCAAAGTTCCCGGAATTATCTGATGTGTGCTGATGGGCAAGCCATAAAGCAAGGCTTAGGTGTCGAGCTGCCACCATCTCCTTTCCTTTTTCTTGAACAGCCATGAAAAGGAAAATCCACACAAATCTTTAGCACCTGTCAAAGCGGTTCTTAAAGCTGGAGAGACATAGGTGCTGTTTGGATGCCAGCGTTGTCCCTGGAAGAAAACAAGGAAGGGGCTGAAAGCCTTACCGCAGGGGCTTCCCTTCCAGCTTTCTCCTTCCTTCCATCTGCATCTGCACTTTCACCAGGTCTGTTGGGCTGGCAAAGAACTGGCCGATGGCACCAGCCGTCATGCCGCCCACGACAGCTTTCCTATCAATCAGTAAACGAACAAAAAGCCTCTGTCAGGAATCTGAGATCGTGGTTCTAAGTAGACATACACAGACTTTAAGAAGAACAGGATTTGCTTCCAAAAAACAAACCTGTTTCATTTTTCTAAAATGGAACTCTAAAACCAGAGTCTTGTGGCACCTTAAAGATCGGCTGATTTATTATAACGCAAACTTTATTTCCTCAGATGGTATAACCTGTGGGAAATGTTATGTTACACACAGGTTCGAATCCCCACTTCGCCATGGCAGCTTGCTGGGTGAACTTGGGCCAGTCACACACACTCGACTTAACCTGCCTCACAGGAGCAGGGTTGTTGGGAGGATAAAATGGACATGAGAATGATGTGAGCTGCTTGGGGAAGAAGACGAGGAGGAGATTGGATTTATCCCCGCCATTCACTTGGCGTCTCAGAGCAGCTTACAATCTCTTTTCCTTCCTCTCCACACAACGGACACCCTGTGAGGTAGCTGGGGCTGAGAGAGCACTGAGAGAACTGCTCTTGAGAGAACGGCTCTGAGAGATCTGTGACTGACCCAAGGTCACCCAGGTGGCTGCATGTGGAGGAGTGGGGAATCAAACTTAGTTCTCCAGTGAAAGGTGGGGTAAAAGGTAAAGGTAAAGGTTCCCTTGCTTGAAAGCCAGTCGAGTCTGACTCTAGGGTTGCGGTGCTCATCTCCGTTTCAAAGCCGAAGAGCCAGCGCTGTCCAAAGACGTTTCCGTGGTCATGTGGCCGGCATGACTAAACACCAAGGCGCACGGAACGCTGTTACCTTCCCACCGAAGTGGTCCCTATTTATCTACTTGCAATTTCTTGCTTTCAAACTGCTAGGTTGGCAGGAGCTGGAAATAGAGATGGGAGCTCACTCCGTCATGCGGCACACGGGTCTCAAACTGCTGAACTACTGACCTTCCACAGCCTGCAGTTCAGCGTCTTAACCACTTGAGCCACCGCAGCTCCGAAAGGTGGGGTACAACTTACCTAAACCAATAAGTAAACAATAAGCACCTTAGCCCTTAAGGAGCCACAAGTTTCTAGTGTTTTTGTTGCAACAGACAAGCAAATCCTGGATGAAGTCAGTGTACTCCCACTGTAATCACAAAAAAAGAGATGGCACTTCCTTTATTCTGATACAGAGCTCTATTGCTGTTGACTGGATGTTACATTAGAATACCTCATCGTCTCTGGTTATGTCCTTAAGTCCATTGCAGTCAAAGTGCATGCTGACTTTAAGGAGCACGGCCGAGGAGGGGAGTGTCTGTCAGCAGAATACTCAGCCCTGCGATTTGGATGGGGGGGCATGCCGATGGTGACACTTCAGACAGCCACCCCTTGAACACGCATTAAAGTGATGCTCCTAGAGACGCTAAGCAAACCTTTGCGTGAACTTTGCATGAACCCAGGCATATCCTATCCGTGAGAACCAAAATAAGGGAACACCACTAGGCAAAAACAACTTACAAGCAAATAAGCAAGTATATAATGATCAAATAAGCATAACAATAAGTGTAATGTAAATCAAATAAGCATAACAACAAGTATGATATAATGAAATGTAAATCAAATAAGCATAACAACAAGTATGATATAAATCAATAGGCCAAAGTGCAAAGATAATAGAAACAGTCAGAGTCTTCTCTAGCATAGAGGCAATATCAAAGTCCAAATTGGAATGCCAATCATCAAATTTTCTGAGCCATCAAAAGCTTCTGAGCCATCAAAAGCCGACGCGTAATCCGGATGCCTGAAGCCGCGTTTCGAATTGTTCTTATTCAAATATGGCTGTAATGGGACTGAATACAAATTCAAAGCATATACAAATAAGAATGCATGCAAAATATAATTATACAACAAGTGAGAATGCATACAGAATATAAATATTTGAAAAATTAGGAGCTGAGCATCAGAGTAGGAACTGGGAGAGATCTAGGTTCAAATCCCTACTGTGCCCTGGTAGGTCGCTGGGTGACCTTGGGCCAGTCACAGACTCTCAGCCTAATCTATCTCATGGGGGTAGATTCAGGTGGAGTCGCTGTGTTGGCCTGAAGCAACAGAGCAACGTTTGAGTCCAGTGGCACCATTAATACCCACAAAGCTTAATTCTGGGCATTTATCTGAATAAGTGTGCATACATCTATCTGGAGAAGTGTACATGCACACGACAGCTTGTACCCAGAATTAAACTTCGTTGGTCTTAAAGGTGCTACTGGACTCAAACGCTGTTCCTTCTCGTGGGTTTTTTCTGAGGATAAAATGGAGGAGGGGAGAAAGATGTAAACTGCTTTGGGTTCCCATTGGGGAGAAAATTGTGGTATAAACAGGGCTTTTTTCGTAGAAAAAGCCCAGCAGGAACTCATTAGCATACTAGGCCACACCCCTGATAGTACATCTCATTAGCATATTAGGCCGCACCCCCATGTTACCAGATACCAGACGTGTGCTCATCCAGCCACACCCACCTTTTGCTTCTTATTCTGTTTACCTTGTTTGTTGTCAAAACCCAGGGCCTTTTTTTGTAGCAGGAACTCCTCTGCATGTTAGGCCACACACCCCGAATGTAGCCAATCCTAATGAATTTCTGCTGTTGGGTGTGGTCTATTATGCTAATGAATCCCTGCTGGGCGTGGCCAACTCGGGAGCCAGCCGGAACTCCGTTCCTGTGCGTTCCTGCCCAAAAATAGTCCTGGGTATAAATAATCAAATGGGACTGGCTTTTGGCTTCCAAGCCGTATAGTGGGGAAAGGATGGGCAGCCCTTTGCTTTCCCTGGTACAGTGGCCTGGGGGTGGGGGCGATTTTTTTTTCTTTATTCTTTGCTATAACAAATTAGTGTCAGGAAGCAAACACGGGCAGTATTACCATAGAGGAAAGCTCCCGTCCGCAGCTCGGCCAAGCACAGAATCGCGAAGATGTTCATACGCAACCATGCGCACTCCACTGTACACTGCAGGGCCAAGAATATGTAAGAATGTTTTAGGATGGGGGGTCTCTTTCAAGTAGCACCTTCATGTTATAGTATAATAAGCATATGGACAGCCGTTGAAAGAGGAACGGAAGAGGCCGGTGGTTCGACGTTCTGTCTTCCCTATTTATTCCAGTGGCTTTCAAACTTCCTGCCTTTCACAGAGCCCTTTTTATGGCCAATTTATATAAAAGAGAACAGACTCCTTCTGTGTGCGCTCTTCTGCCCCTGTATTTGCATGTGTGAGGAGAGAGAGGGGGCACCTCTGTGATAGACAACTGCCGCAGAATCCCGGCCAACTGTGAAGAATTCTGCCACACACTGGAAGGCGCTCGCTCAATTTGTCTGCGGCCATGCTTTGTGAGGCTCACGGCTGCCCTGCTTGAATCAACAGTGCCCTAGAAAATTCTCAACAGGTCCCCCATAGTTGTTGCACAGTATTTGTGACTGGTTTTTTCCCCGACCAAAGCAAAACATACCTTCGGTTTTCTCTTGGTATGTTGGCCAAAGCAATGTTTTTAAAAATCCGCACAGCCAATTAAATCTCCAATGGCCAATCGGAAGCCTTGCTGGGCAGAACTCCCACCTGGCTGTACCCGGCCTGCTTTCTAGGAACATTTGGCGGGTTCCCAGAAAGGAGTTGGTGGGCACCACATTAGGGACCCCTGTTCTAGGATACGGACTTGTGGTGAGTGGATGCATGCCTGTTTTTTAAAAAAATCCTAATGTCGGGGAAATCGGGGAGCAAAAATTGAGTATGGTTACACATCACAGCCAGTTTGGTGTAGTGGTTAAGTGCATGGACTCTAATCTGGGAGAACCAGGTTTGATTCCCCACTCCTCCACTTGCACCTGGCTGGATGGCCTTGGGCAAGTCGTAGTTCTGACAAGAGCTGTCCTTGAAAAAGAGCAGTTTCTGTCAAGAGCTCTCTCAGCCCCACCTCCCTCACAGGGTGTCTCTTGTGGGGAGGGGAAGGGAAAGGAGTTTGTAAGCCGCTCTGAGACTCCTTTGGGTAGTGAAGGGCAGGGTATAAATCCAATCTCCTCCTCCTCTCCACAGCAATGCTCCCTCTAAGCTGTGAAGTCCTGTGAGCAAAACTTCTACTTTCTGAGCGACCGGCATTAAAGCTGTGAGCAGGTGATTTGGCTGCTGCATAAATTACTTTGCTCTGGAGCCATCCCTCCTGAGCTGAGACAAAAATGTGTGAGCCAGAGGCTAAAAAACTGTGAGCCAGCTCGCACTAACTCAGCTTAGAGGGAACACTGCATCACAGAACTTCTTATAGGGTTAGGTGCCTTGCTAAAGGTTCGGCTTCCAAGGAACCCAAGGTTGAATTTCATTCAGTAATTTAAACTCTCACTGGCAGAAATAAGTTAACTGAATAAAGTTATCGTTCAGATCTGTCCTTGCAGAGGAGGGAGAGCTTGTACCTGAATAAAGATAACTTTATTCAGTTAACCTGAATAAAGATAAATAAACATAAAGGCAGATTACAAGGGAACTCTTCCAGTGCCTCTCTCTGTAAATACCTACTGAAAGGGGGAGACAGAGAGAGAGAGAGAGAGACAAAGACCGATTTCACACAAGAGCTGCGCTTCGGTCACACCTCCCTTTGCCCCGCTTCTATTGGTCAATTTCCCACTCGAAGCCGCACGGCCGCATTTTGACCCACGGCTTTGCCCGATTTTCCCCACGGTTTCG